GTTCCTGAACGCAAAACAAAACACACACCCTGCTCGGGACGCTCTCCTCTCAGAGACTCGCAGGGCTCGGCTGCCCACGGGCGGTCCCGGCGAGTCTCGCAGGAGGGGCGACGACCTGTCTCCCTGCGGCCGGGCTGGGGGCGGGGGGCGGCCCTGAGTCTCCCGTGGGGCCTCGGCACACGGAACTGCGGTTCGGCAGAACCCGTTTTGGGAAACGTGGATCTACGCAGCCCTTCCTGCTACTTTGTGGATGGGGAGGCGGCCTGTGTCGGTGAGGTGTCGGCTCACTGCGCGCAACTGGAGAGGGAAGGCTCAAGGAGAGGGGAGTTTCTGTCTCCTCACGGTGAAAGCAGCCTGCGAGTGGGCAGACAGGCACCGCGACTGGGAGGGCTTCCCGGAGGACGAGCCGGGAGAAGCGGGGCAGAGGGGCAGGGGCGGCGGGGGGTGGGGGGGAGCAGGGGCGCGATAGGGCCGGGCGGCCTCTCTCCCTCCCTCCCCCAGCATCACCCTGGAAGCCTGTGTGCTGCCCTGAACTTGCTACAAGACCCTTGACCCTGGAGGGGTCGGCGGCACAAAAGTCCAGTTCAGATCAGCCCACATTGAGGCTCCCGAAACTATCTTTGCGGCCTCTTTCCTGAATAGACCAGCTTGGGGCCCTCACCCCTTGTTCTTGGGGGGCGGGCCCAGCTCCCCCAACCTCGTCGCCATGGGCTGATGCCGGGGGCTGCGGTTCCTCCCGGCTGCCTCCGGCTCCCACCTGTTCTCGCGATGCACATCTCCGTTCAAGAACGTGACCTGCCGCCCTGCTGACGCTGGCTTGGGCCGCCTCTCTAATTCTTTCATTCTGTCCTGTCCCCTTTCCTCCTGACCCAGAGGTGTGGTGAGGGGTTTGCTGAGGTTTGGGGTAACGGAGGGTCAGTCCAGCCCAGAGCAGAGCAGGTGAGTGCCCATCACACATTCGTCATCGCTGTCCTGAACGTTAACGGCTGCCCCCGCCTCCTCACTGCGGTGCCCCTCCTGAGGCCGTATTTATTTCTCTCTTCCCTCGAGACCCGTCTTTTCCCTTTCCTGGTTGCCATCTCCAAAGTCCCAGTGACTTTCGCCTGCGGGACAATTTCACTCCCCCCTCAGCCAAAGCAGGTTTTCCAGCCACCGAGTGATGCCTAAACTCACCAGGGGACTGTGGAAAGACGTGACTCCGAGGACCGAGCAGCGACCAGCAGAGACTTGGGCATTACGTTTTTCTTTAGTGTACCCTGGGTCACATTCTTGGCAGCCTTCCCAGTCTCCTGTTGACCATAACCCACCCCAAGGCGGTAGGTAGGGCTGGGTGGGTTCCCCTGGGTCTGCATAGAGCACCTCCTATGGGCAGTGCTGGGTACTGCACCCTGAGATGCAAGGCAGGCAAGACCCCTGCCCCAGAAAGCCCAGGCTCTAGGAGGAAAATTTAGCTCCAGCATTGAAAAAAAAAAAAGTGCCAAGAGAAGAAAGAGGAGAGGGGAACTTGCCTATTCGGAGTGGTCAGAGCTCTTCAGGTTAGAAGGTCAGGGAGGGCTTCCCATAAGAAGTGGCATTTGAAGGGGACCAGATCAGGTGGCTTAACCTGGGCGCAGGAGTAGGGGTGGCCAGTCAAGGAGATGTGGTGTCCGCTGCCCCCCCCCCCGGCCCAAAGCCTCCCAGCTGCACATCTGACAGATTTCACCTAAACCAGCCCCGCTAAATCTCAAGCCCCATCAAACCCGGTTCTGTTATAATCTCTCTCTCTTATCTCTTCCTTGCCTTCCTTCCCCATGCTCCTCCCCCAAAGGATGGGAAATCTTCAAAGAAAAAGATGTGTCACTGCAAGTATACAGCCCAAGAAGTGGGCCAGATAAATTATTAAAATGCATGAAAAGACAGTGAGCCGTGGCTCGGGGAGCCGGTGGAGACCGAATGGCCACCCCAGGTGGAAGGTGGGCTCCTGGCCCCTGGGGAGCCCCTCCTCAGAGCCCCCCCTCCAGGGGGCAGGCTAAGGTTTCAGCACAAGGCCCAACCCTCTGGTGTCTTGCCCAGGGCCAGGTTGGCGGTGGTGGTGGGGGTGATTCCAATACAGCAAGCCCCTGGCGCCTGCCGGGCTGGGAAGGGCCGGGCTGAAGGTGGAGGGGCCTTTGTGTCTGGGTGGACATTTGGGATTTACTTCCCCTAAGGCTCAAACTGGTAACTGCAGAGTTTTAGTTGCTGCTTTTATCTCTTTTTGAACTGCGAAAAGAAATTCCCGAGGGGCAGGGGGGGATACTTTTTTCTCATGAAAGAAGAAAGCCATGACCGATTTAAGGAAGTAACCAACTTTCTGAGCACGGTGAGAAAGAACACTCGGAGTTCTGCTTTGATTTCCACGCGCCACGCCAGCCCCGGCGGGGGGCAGGGGGGAGAGAGACAAACAGCGATCCCATCCCAGGGCCCTTTCCTTCAGAGGGGGGTCTGCGGGGAGGCTGCCACTCCGGTTCAGACACTCAGAGCCCACCTTCCTCCCGCCCCAAACCTGTCCTCCTGCTCTGGCCTTTTCCTGTGGCTCAGGGGTTCTCAACGTGGGCGCGATGGACATGTTGGCCTGGATATTTCCTTCGCTGGGGGGTCTGTCTCGTACAGTGTAGGACGCTTAGCAGCGGTCCTGGTCTTTTCTTGCTAGATGGCTCCAGACTGTGCCAAACGTCCTCTGTGGAGGGGGAGGGGGCCCGCAAACTGCCCCCCGCTGAGAACCTCGGCTGCGGCTGCTGTCGCCTTCTGCCCTACTGTGCGCACTGTGTGCCCGAGCGTCGCGTCGACTGTTTCTTGTCTGTCTGCGTCCCAGCAGAGAGCGAGCTCCTCAAGAATGAGGATTGTCAGCTACGTTCACTGATGTATCATAAGTGCCTAAGACGGGGCTTGTCCCGTAGCTGGCACCGCATCACCGTTTGTTTCTAGAGCGGGGACTCTCTCTCTAGTGGGGGCCTGTGACGTCGGGACTGTGTTAGGACAGCCTGATGTAGAACAGGGTGGCAGTGGGCTCCACAGGCTTGGGGTTCGTTCCTAACCAGGTCGCTGGCTGCTGTGTGACCTTGGACAAGTGACTTCACCTCTCTGAGCCCAGTAGGTTCCCTCCTTTATAGACCAAATACAAGCCTGCATCAGAGAGTGGTCGGTTGTGAGGTCTACACATGAGTTAGACCAGTGAATTTCAACCTTTTTCATCTCACGGCACACATAAACTAATGACTACATTCCTGTGGCACACCAAAAACATATTTTTTGCCAAGCTGACAAAAAAATAGGTATACTTTTGATTCATTCACACCAGACAGCTGTTGCTGTGTTGTCCATTGTCATTGTTCATTTGACCATCCGAGGGGTAAGAGGTCAGCGCCTCTGATGAGACAGTCAGGTAGGTAGGTATTGGATGTTTCACAAATTCTTGCAGCACACCGGGTGAAAATGACTGACTTAGACCTTGGCTGGCGTGGTGCTGGATAAAGAATCACAATATAAAACAAGCAACAATGTACCTGCTTATAAGATTCGCCCTCATTTCCACTAAGAAGGGTGTAAAGAAGGGAACTTTGGAGGATGGAGCTGAGACACTGTCGGATGAACATATTTATGACTCCGGACGGCCGCGCAGCTCCTTTCGGACGTGTAGATGCTCCCGACCTGTGCTGTTCAGCACGGCGAACCTCAGCCGCGGGCTCCACGCGGTGACTGGTCCGTCGCCGTGTGGTTAGTCTGGGTGGAGATGTCCTCAAAGTGCAAAATGCACACTGGATTTCAAACACTTAGTGCAAAATGAAGAATTTAAAATATCTCCTTCTATGTTGAGTATTTTTGATATAGCAGGTTAAGTAAAATATATTATTAAAATTAATTTCTTTCCACTCCCCCCCGCCCCCAACTGTGGCTAACTAGAGAATTCAGAATTACGTTTGTGGCTCCCAGAGGGAAGCTGGGAGCCTCCATCTTACAGATGCTGAAACTGAGGCTGTCCTGGAGAATTGGGTCCAAGGGGCAAAGCTGGTCTCACTCCAGGCCGGGGGTCTTCTTTTCCCGCGCCCAGGCTGCCCAGTACCAGGATGAGCTTAACGACAGGCCCACGATGTCCCCAGCGGAGCAGGAATCTCGAAGGTGGGGTGGAGCCCCTTGATGTCGCTCTCCCCTCTGCAGAGACCTCCCCAGACCAAACAAACAAGCCCTTGGGTCTGGCAAAGTGCAGCGGGGAGCGGAAACCGAGGAAGATCAAAGACCCAGCGGTTACCCCCTTCCGGGCCGCGCAGCTGGCAGCGCGCCGTGACCCCAGGCGGGCACCCACAGGCCTCCTGGCGAGGGGATCCCAGCGATTGGCTAGCAACTCCTGGTTTTCGGACACTTGTCGCCGCCAGGAATGGGCCGGGTCCGCAACTGGCTGGAGGCGCGGTGGGGGCTTTTCCTGGACTCTTACATCAAACCTAGAGGTCGAGGCAGGGGGCGTGCGGCGAGTAATAAGCGAACACTCTCTGCGAAGGCAGGTCGCAGGGAGACTGGGAAGGGGCGACGCAGCAGGCGCTAGCGCCAGGGCAGCGGCCCCCTCCGGATCTCAGTTTCATCACCTGTAACCTGGAGCCCCTGAGTCCCGCCCAGCGCGCTTTTAGGAAAAATAGAGCGGAGAGAAGGCACATAGCGACAGGAGCGGTTGTCCTAGAGACGGCAAGACCCAAGAGGGTGTTTGTCCCAATTTGCCTGCTGGCCAGAGCCCCCAAACCCGGTCTCCAGCCCACGGTCTCCAGCTCCTGGCACCTGGCTGGGGGACGTAAACTGCAGCCTGGAGGGGGCGCTGTGGCAGACCTGCAGCGCCTGGCTGCGCCCCGCCCCCAGCTCTCTGGCCACGCCCCCTCCCGCCCCCTCGGCAGCCCGCCTCGCCTTTGATGCGCCGCGCCCCGCCAATGGGTGCACGGGGAGGCGCGGGCCGAGGCGGCGGGCTGGGGGCTCGGCACGCCCGGGCGTCAGTCGGGCAGCGGCGACGGCGGCAGGAGCTAGTCCCGGCGCCGCCTCGGGCTCCGCTCGGCTCGGGGGCTGCTCCCGGAGGAGGAGAGCCAGGCGAGGGGCGGCGATCCGCGGGGCCCGCGGGCCGGGCGCATGGCTTAGGGACGCCCCCGCCCGCCGCGCCCCCAGCATGGGGAAACTTCACTCCAAGCCGGGTCAGTGTCCCCGCCCGCGCGCCGGCCCCGGGGCCCCCGCCGCCCTCTCCCGGGCGATTGCTAACTCTCTGCCTCTCCTTTCTTTCCGGCTCCCGCCGCCGCCGCGCGCGATGTGCTGCAGCCGCCGTGTGCAAGCGCAGGGAGAGCCCGGAAGGTAGGGGCGCGCGGGGCATGGACCCGGGGAATGGATGGAATGGCCTAGCCCGCGGGATCTCATTACCAGGGCCACCCCCACCCCCAGCTCTGGCTGACCACTAGCCCCACAAACCCGCTCCTGGAGCAGCCTTCGTGACCCCTCTCTGTCCCGCCTACCCTGTCCCCGCTGTCCTGTGCCCCCTGTTCTGAGCCCCAACCTCTCGTCTCGCGGTCCCCGCCTTTCGCGCTCACTGCGCCCTCTGTTCAGACTCCCAAGCTCCTTCCCCCAAATTCTGTCCCCTCTCTTCCTGGCCCTCAGGCCCTTCTTCCTCGATCTTGGCTCCTGCGCCCCTTCTCCTGACCCTCAGTTCCCCACTTCCCCTCACCTCGTGTTTCATGCACCCGTCTCCGGACCCTCACCCCGTTTCCTCGGCAGTCCTGGCCTCTGGGGCTCGCTCTTCTGGTCCCCGGACTCTTCCTCCTCCGTGGGTACCACTCTTCCTGCTCTTGGGGCTTCGTGGAACCCCTTCCCCCGACTGCCTGCGTCCGCCCCTGGGATTGTGCCCCGGCTTTCGACCCCCTCCCGGCCCCCGTGGCCTGCGCCGGCCGCGCCCGCTCTCTCCCTCCTCTCTCGGGTAACTTTCACTCCGGGGGCCGGACTCAGGGACTCCTGTCGTCCCCGCCCCAGGTGACAGCTTCGCTGTGAGTGCCGCCTGGGCCCGGAAAGGCATCGAGGAGTGGATCGGCAGGCAGCGCTGCCCGGGTGGCAGCTCCGGACCCCGACAGCTGCGGGCGGCGGGCACCGCCGGCAGAGGAGCCCGGGTACGATCCCCTCACGCCCCTCTTTCACCCCCAGAGATGAGTCTCCACACCCGCCCACCCCAACTTTTAGCACCCTCTTAGCACAGCTGCTAAGTCCAGAAATCCCTTCTCAGCCACCCCTGCCCCACCAACGTACCCCTGCACCCCCATGCCTTGAGGGTCCTTCGAGGTGACATGGGTGGCAGTCTCCTGTCCGGTTGGGGCCAGAGGGCTGCCTGGGCACGTAGGTCCTAGGTGGGGAGGTGGTGCAGGTCCAGCCCGTGAAGAAGCTTATCTGTGCTGGGGGGCCGGGGACTTGGGGGCCTGCTCTGACTCCCTTGTTTTCAGGGCCAGCCTGCAAGGGTGGGCTTAGAGGTGGGGCGGGGGAGAGGGAGCGGGCACTGAGGGGTGTCTGGGTGGAGCACGCGACCGTGCCGGCCTCCAAATACATTCCGTGTGTCCGTGGCCCTCGTCGGTACCATCTGCCCGGGAACCACAGTAGAGCAGACCGCCATCTGGGTGACAGAGCTTGGGGGCACTGAGGGGACCCGGTAGACCCCCCCCCCCAGCTAGGCCCACGAGGAGAGAGAGCCCCTCGTTCTGCTGTAGCCCGGGCCCGCTCGCTCCCGAGGGTCCCCGCGGTCGGAGCTGTTTCTGGGGGAGCAGGAGAGAGATGTGACGGGGGAGTGAGTGAGCCCAGCCCCAGATCCTGGCCTGGGACTGGCGTTCACAGATGTCCTCTGAGCTCTGGAGCTCTGCACGGGCTTTCAGAAGGTCTGCGTGGAACTCAAGCAAGCCGAGGATCAAAGGATGAATCAACTTTTTGATGTGACATTTAATTTTTTTTTTTTTTTAACTTAGAGGTGAACAGACTGCGCCTCAGGTCTGGTTAGTTCTTTGGTCTTGCCCGTGGGCTGGGGAGGGGCCGGCAGAGTTTTCAGATGTGTGTGTGGGTTTGAGTGGTGGGTTTCAGTGGTGGGCTGGGCGCAGCTCGGTGGCAGGGGCCGGCGTGGGGCAGTGAGCCTGTGGATGCAGCCGACTCTCGTGCATGTACGAAATAACCCCTGCGTCTGGGAGGAGCTCCCCTCTGCCCCTCCGCCGCCTCCGCTCACGTAGCTGGGGCTCTCTCTCCCACGTGTGTCTTCACCTGCAGGCTGGGGCGGTCTGGAGCTGCTGCCCCCCAGCACGGTCAGCCGTGGTGGGCAGGGGCGCTGCAGTTAGTTTAGGGGCCTTTGAAAACAGACCTATGGACGTCCCAGTCTTTCCCCCAGCATTTCCAGTTTATGATCTACATGTGTTTTCAAAGCGCAATGAAAATGATCCGATCTAGCCATACGGACACATAAATGGATTCGTGGCTCAAGACTGAGGCCAGCTGAGTGGATTTCCATTAATCAGGTTTGGGGTTTTTTTTTCAGCCTGTTTATTTTTACAAAGTATTCCTGCAGAATGACATTTTTTTTTTTTTTTTTTTGCAGTCTTCCCTCCTCCCCGTCCCCCCCCTCCCCCCCAGCCTTTTTTCCTTTCCTAAACTGCCAGGCAGCTTGCTCCGTGCTTTAGGGGAAACTTGAAATACAGCGAGGGCTTACTTCAACTGACTTTTATCTTCAAAGCCGTAACAAATGTTCCCCGCATGTTTCTGGTGGGTCTCCTTGGCATCCAGTCCTGGAGGATGGGCGGGAGGAGGAAGGAAGGAGAGAAAAACAAAAGTCTGTCGTTTTTAATTAAATAGTAGTGTTCCCAGCGAAAGGAATGTGGGCCAGTAAAAGTTGCCATGGGGGGAAGCGAGGGAGGGTGGGGAGGGGGCCCCCGGCTTAAGTCGGTGGCTTTGGTGGAGGCACGGGATTATGTGGCCTGGTTCCCCACCCCCCCCAAGCTGAGGACGGCCGGGGAGGGGGCGCGCCCCCTCCCTTCCTCGCCCCCTGTCTCGGAGAAGCACACGGAGGGGTCGTTAATGTTTGTTCAAAGCACTTTTGAAGATGTGAGACGGAGCCATCGGGGTGACACATGTTGGGTGGTGGAGGGCGGGCCCTGCGCTTCAAGAAGAAGGGGAGGGAACTTCTGTTTCCTTATAGTCGTGCTCGGTGCCTGGGGCCCGGACACCTGGGTTCCCACCAGCCCTGGCCCAGCCACTGAGTCTGCAGAGGGGTGCCAGTGCACCCCGGGAGAGTCAGGTGAGCCCCACGCCGGGGCCCCCAAGGCCGGATTTTGGGTGGTACCTGGAGGGTCATTTTCAATCCGAATAGTTCCTTGTTTCTCTGATCAGAAGTAAAAGCACTAGGACGCGAAACCCGTGGTTCCGCTGCTATTGTGGTTGCTGAGGGTGACGCTCAGAGGAAAGAGAGAGTCTGGAGTCGACTCCAAGAAAAATGGCGAAGTGCAAGTGGCCCAAACGGTGACCGTGGGCACCGAGTGCCCGACGGTCGGGAAACACCGAGGTCCCTCCCGCACGGGACCGGGCTGGGCAGCCCTCGGCTGGTTCGCGCTGGGCGACTCCGGGCCGCAGGGTCTCCCGTGATGCCATCAGGATGTAGGAGGGCGAGGGCTCCAAAGTCCGCCCGCTCCAAGGGCTGATGGAGGTCCCCCCAGGAGCCCAGGCCGGTCTCTGGGGTGGCCCCCGCCTCAGCTCCTTCCCTGCCCTTTCCCTGAAGTGGCTGCAGACGTGTCAGTAGCACATCAACTAGCATTATTATTATTGTTATTATTATTATTGCTATTACTATTACTACATGGATAACCACTATTTATTAACTGCCTGTGTGTATCTTGCGCTTTGCCTACCTTATCTTAATCCTCCTGGTAAGCCTGTGAAGTTACCAGCCAGCTGGTGGGGGCTGTTTTTCTCTATTTCTGGAGCATTTTCTCGGACCACAGAAGCCGTGCGTGGTGCAGCCCTGAGCCACAGTGTCTGCCCAGAGCTGGGGCACAAGCACCCTCATTGGAGAGGTGGCAGCCTAGCAGCTGTGAGCCCTTTGGGGTGAGGCAGGTTTTGGGGTGCTCAGAACAGGAGGGTCTGCTTCTTGCCCTTGTCCTCCCTGGTGGGTATGAGTAGCTTAGTGAATGTTCAGGGTGGGTCTACCCCCCATGCACGGTCCTGGGGTGTCAGAGGGTGACCTCCTGGCGCTGACCTAAGCCTGTCTCCCTGGATACAGACATACACGAGGTCAGGCTCTGCCACGGAGCTCATCCCCTTGTACAAGCCACTCTCCCTTTGTGTGCCTTAATGAGCTCGTCTGTAAAATGGGCATGAGAACGTTCTCATCCCAGGCAGGGTCATAGCAGATAACTCTTCAAAACTGGGTGGCATGGGGGCGGGGTTTGCTGAGACGCAGGTGCGGGGAGAGCTGGGAGCCCAGACTGCGAAAGCACCTTGGACAACCTAGACTCACTTGGAGGGACGCAGGCCAAGGCCAAGGCTACGGCTTCTCTTCTCTCCATGGGCTCAAGGCGGGCGAGCGCCAGGGGAGCCTGAGCTCAGGGGAGAAAGGTAACGAGGAAGTCAAGGCGGGCGAGTCCTAGGAAGGCAGAGCAGTCAAGGGGACTGACTGTTCACGTGCCCGACAACACTGTCCTCCCCAGGGAGAAATTAAGACAAGCATCATCATCTCAAAAGGATGAAGGCAGGGGGATAGTCTTGGAAACGTGAGGCAGCAACAGGCAGTTACAAAAGCAAACCAGGTGGGTACTCTGGGTCTGGAAAGCACAACGGATGAGATCAGGAAGCTTACTGGTGTGGAGACCGCGGTGGGACAGTCCTCGGAGACGCGAGCCTGCGTGCACGCTCGTGGGGCGTGGACACGTGTGTGCAAATGCACTTAAGACAGCCGCCCCCGCCACCCCCTTTGGTGCCTTTGGTCCTTTTGTTCTTTCCTCTCAGATGCCTGAAGGGAGTCTTTGCAGCAAAGGTGGCCGCCAGGCGGTTCGGAAATTTGATGAGGGGACACCTAGTGCGTTTCGGTGTCGGGGGAAGATGCGGCGGGCGCAGGCCCGGTTGGAGCCCGCGGGTCCCTGTGGGGCCGGGCGATGAGATTGGAGGTCGGCCCAGCTGCTGCCCGCGCGCCAGATTCCCGGGGAATTACCCTTGACTGATACCAGTTGGCACAATTAAAAAGCCTCATGTCTTCACCATATGGAAAGTGTTAGGCCTCCTTACGTGGTTTCGAAGCTATGTGGCGGGAGGTGGACTTGACATTTGAGGTAGAGCATAAATTAAATATTTGGTGTTTTGGAATTAAAAGATGATTTGCTTTGAGGCCGGTGGAGGCCTCCGGGCCTCCACGCGCTGGCATCGTCGCGTTCTCCACGGAGGGTCTTCTCCCCCGGTGGCACCGGACCAGCTTCCCAGCCCTGCCCGGGAGCTTTCTTTACCCCCGTGGAGTGGCCGGGAGGGACGGGGGCCACCCGAGCCGGGCGCAGTGCCAGGCTCGGGGCTTCTGGTTTCCAGGAGGCCTCCGTCCCCGGGGCCGCCGCGCGGCAGGCAGGGCCACCGTCTCTGCGACGCCCGTCTCTCTCCTAGAGGCTGCGAGCTGTGTCTCCTCCTCCCTTTGAAACTTTTCTCTTTTTCGGAGAAGGAGGCCGGGCCCCTGAGTCAGGCTCTGTGCCCGTGTTAGCCCCCCGAACTCAGGAGCGGTCCCCGGCATTCACATTGTGCACCAACGGGAGTAAGCCCAGGGCCGAGCCGAAACCACGGGACCACCACGGCCTGTCCCCCCGGCTCCCTGCGAACCTGCGGGGCGTGCCGCCTCCTCTTCCAGCAGGGACACCAGAAGCTAGGAGAGAAGCGGGGAATGGGTGGACAGAGAGTAGTCCATGCCCAGGGACCAAGCTGTCCCCTGGGGGGCTTGAAGCAGCAAGGCGGAGCTGCCCACCAGGCAAGAGCCCCTTCCTGGGTGACACACCTCCCCTGCGGCAGCCCCGGGGCGGGTAGTGGGCACTCGTGAGCTGTCTGCTAAAAGAATGGTGGCATGAATGAACGGATGAATGAATGGAGGATGGATTCGGGCACCAGCCCTGCCTCTCCC